GGATTAACCTATTTTAGACAAGCTCTAGATATTTTTTACTACCGGACCCCTACACCCGGAGTGTTATGTTGTAGAGACATTAGGTATTTTGGAAGCAAGAGAGATGAAAAATTAACAACGCCTTCGCCGGGAATCGAACCGCGAACCTCTGGAATATCGGCCCAGCGAGCAGAACCACTACACCACTAAGGCACGATAGGACAGCGGGAGAAATACCTTATAATGTCGTTTATACAAATGATAGGTATGTAATAATAATTAAAAAAATAGTCAATTTTTCCAAAATCTTTAATATGGATTTTAGTTTTAGAATAATTATAAACATGAGTTTAATTATGTATCAATACAGTAGATGGAACTGGAACTTTTTGTTTGCATGTTATAAATTAAGAAAGCGAAATTTATTGTGCTAACTGCCAGAAACCATAGTTTTGAAAAAATTATTATGATAGTAATTTAAAAAGCCCTTTTTCTGGCTTTGAGTTCTGCAAATTTATCAGTTAATATTGTTCAACGCATTTTGTTCTATGTATATCACTAGAGAAGTATTTTTCACAGAAGTTCAAAGAAGTTAATTTTCTTTAACTTAATGAGTTTCGTAAATAGTTTTTTATGCATTTCAACACCGAAAACGACCTTTCAACAGATGAATTTTACACAAGCAAAGTTAAAAGCATACGTAATATGATTTTTATATTTGGAAATGTCGATACAATTTTTGTAGTCTTTATAAATCGTAGCATGTCAGATGGCAACATTAAATTTTGTCAGATTAAATTTTTGGCTTTTACAAAGTAATAGAAATTGAAACATATCTTCATTCAATTCTTTTGCATCAGTGTCTTCACTGTACCATTTTTTTTAGTAAGATTCATTTCATACTTTGTCATTTGAGTTTTTATGAAATATTTGAAAAATCCCATTAATGTTTTTGTAACTTTTGCCACATTGCTTTTGTTCGCGACCTTTTATTACTATTGGAACAAGTTTTTACTTCTGAGGCGTTTAACACCAGCGCGTCTATTTTCGGGAATAAATTTCTTAAATTTTATTGAAATTTATTTATTTAATTGAAGCCAAAGCAAATTACTTTAGCTGCATCAGCTCTACAAGGCCCCTAGAAGTACAACATTTTTTTACTGACTGACCACCACTATGAAAGCTCCCGACCAAAGGAATAAACCAAGCAGGATAAAGCTCTCATAGCGGATTACCATCCACCACTAGCTACCGCCACAACCATGTCTGACCCGGCAGATCAGCGGCATTTATTGATCACAAAAATTTAGATATTTACAGAAAGTAGTCATAGAGAGAGTACATAGCAATTGTAGCAAGGCTTGCTGCGAATACATTCATAAAAGTCACTGTTACAAGTACGTCCATAGTCCACAGTATATAGTCAAATTGAGGTCGTAGTCAATATTTAGAGTTCATTGTCATAATTTGTAGTCCAGAGTTCATAATCATAAGTCATTGTCATAATTTGTAGTCCAGGGTTCATAATCCTAAGTCATTGTCATAGTAGTAGTAGTTCATTATAGTAGTAGTTCATTATCATAATAGTAGTAGATCAATATCACAGTTACATACATTTGCAAGAATAAGAATATGCATGATAGGATTACCAAACATCAATTCGGAACATTGGTTACCATAAAACAAGTAAACAGTGGCAACAAATGAGCATATAATGAGAAACACAAATGTACAGGCATAAGTACAAAAACAGGAATATAAAGTATACAAAATAATACAGGAATACCAAAATATATAATATAATGCTCTGAATATACAATATAATAAATATACTATATACAATATAAGATACAATACAATATAATAGAATAATAAACAACAATAAATAACTCTATATACAATATATACAAAAACATTACACAGCTTACAATTCAATATAGTCAGTACACAATCAGATAATATATATCAAACGTAGAGTATGGAGACTATATATACAAAAATACTAAAGTATACAATACAATATAATAGAGTAATACAACAATAAATAACTTTATATACAATATATACAATAACATTGCACAACACGCAATGCAACACATTCATTATACAATAGATAGTTATCAAACATAGAATATGGAGACTATATAGAAAGAATATACTATTAATTGGAAAAGATATGTGTAAATGGTGTTAACATATGTAATGTGAAGAACATGAAGGAGACACTTAGCTTGTAAATGTAAATGTGTACAGGCTATTACAGATGTCAATGATGTGCTGAAGTTTATTGATGGACAATGGATTATTTAAGAGATATTGATCCCACTGCTGCCAGTACTGCGTAAGAGGTCTCTTGAAATGAAATTGATTGGTGTGCACACAATCAAAGGCGAAATGATCCGGAGATCCGAGAATGCCACAGTTGCAGATGTCTGTCGTTCGAATGTGAAATCTATGTAAGTACGTTGGAAATGGTCCATGTTCTGTGAAAAAGGCAGCTTGGGAGAAGTTTGAAAGAATCATCTTTGCTGAGACTTTTGGAAAGAAAAGATTGGTACGTCGTCCAGTGCTAGCAGAGGACCAGCTCTGCTGCCAACGTTCCATAAGTTTAGCTATGGCAATTGACTTCAAATAAGAGGCTGGATAGGCTATTGGATATTCCACTAAATGAACTCCTTGAGCAGCCTCTTTAGCTATAGAGTCTGCATGTTCATTTCCCAAAACCCCGCTGTGTCCAGGGACCCATTGGAGAATGGGACGGTGATTTGAGGGCACTCGAAGAAGAAGTTGCTGAATAATATGGACCAGCGAACTAGTAGGATGCATGTTTTGTAAGGCTTCAAGACTGGATTTAGAGTCCGTATAAATGATGGTGCGAGCAGAAAATTTAGAAGCTAGGTCTATTGCTTTTTAGTGGCAACAAGTTCTGCTTGATAGACGGAGGTTTTAGTGTTCAGTCTTCTTCTCCAAGTGCGTGTTTGTGTGCCATTCACATACAGACAGAGGCCGCAACTTGTACCTGTCGGAGAACGAGATCCATCAGTATAAATCTCAATGTTGAAGTTAGGCAGAAGCTGTTGAGAGGATGTGAAGTTAGAATCAGGCAGATCAAATTCGGCAAGATGGCAGAGTGGTTTGGAGGGCCGATGTTCAAAGTCTATTGTAGAAAAGTGGCAGGATCATAACTCGGCATCACGTTGAAGGCGTAGTATTCTTGAAAGAAAGGCCTCTTTCTCTGCAGTGAGATCAAGAGGCGGAACACCAGCTAGAACCATTAAGGGCTGATTTGAAGTAGTACGATATGATCGTGTAATTTTCAATAGGAAGAGACGTTGCATGGATATCAACATTCTACGCTCATGCTTAGTGAGGTGACAGGCCCAGATACCTGAGCAGTATAATATGATCTTTTCAATCACTGCATGGTACCATTGTTTGAGCATGCATCTGATACCCCAACTTTTGGCAGTTGTCCTTAACATGTGCTGATGTATAATCTTAACCTTTAAACATTTTTTTTACTGTAAAATGTTTATTATTTGCTGCAAAACATTTTCTTAAGTGTTCCACCTATAAGTAAACGTCAGAAAAATGTATAAACGTTCGCCAATAAATTAAAACATGTTATTGCTTGCAAACATGATTTACTAGCACTACTTTTCATCAGATTTAACGAATGTGAAGCACAAGGAACGTAATGAGCTGTTTGACTATGTTTTTAAGGCGGTTTTGGAACCCATTGTATTTTCCAGACACATTTTCTGCATGACCTTGAACAAAGCTCAGATCGCATCAATTTGCGAGTGTCAAAGAAAAAACTTAAACAGGATGTTGGAGTATTTAATTTTTGAATTTAATAGTTAAAAATACTTTGTTTCTTTGCGTACCACCGGTTGTGAATCGCTGGTATATGGTATACACGGTCGCGAATTTCCTTCTGTGCCTCAGACAAAAAATTATATAGACTCGAATCTGCCTATGCAAATCATTTCCTCATATTTTTTCCTGAAAATTAAGGCGCGCGTATAACATCCAATAACTAGATGAAGATTTTTACAAATATATATTTTTACAAGATATATTTTTCATTCATTGCAATGTTAATGCAATAAATGAAAAATATATCTAACACTATTCATTCAGCTACAGAATGAACATGAAGTAGATAAATAATGAATTAGTTACATTTTGTTTTCATTTACCTTTTGACGCAAACTGCCCATTTGCATTCTAAGACATCTGACTTCTAAATGGGCGATAATTTTCTGCAACGAAGTTTGGACTGTTTGTGGAATCTACGCTTTCTGTAATACCTCTTTCTCTGGGGAACAGAATGCCGTTCTTGATCGGGGTCCAGAGGAGATAAAAACCACCGAATATTGGCAATTTTTTTATTTTATAATAGTGATGCTCTGAATATGTCTCGAATGTTGCCGTGTAAAGAATTTTCACCCTAACCATTACGTACATTCGTGGAGCGAGTTGTACCTCATCTGAGTAACAGTCAGGAGATCGGAAGCTCGAATTTTAAGCTGATTATCTCACTTCTTGCTTTTAAAATATTATAAATTATTCTACAAACAGCTTCCAACTAAAAATGGGGTGAACCATAATTAGTCCGCCTGGATTTTGCAACTAGGTGTCCCCCCTTACCAGTCGCTCTTTTAGTGGCAGAGAATATGAGAAAACTTCCTCCTTCCTCACTGCATGTCTGTAATGTAATTGATGGTACTCGGAGGTTAGTGCATTCGAATTCATTGGAGTTTTCCTGTTTCCTGCTTCGAAACGTTTAATAAGCTGTACAATTATAGTGGTTATGTAACTGTGGGATAAAATATTTATTTACCCGTAATCGAAGCAGCGGTGTACAAATGGTTAATTTTATTACATAAATTTTAAAACTGTAAACAATATATGCCTAGTAGAGTAAATAATCTAAAACAATGACAGGGGTTTATAATTCTGGACACGCTTTTATACATTTGTATTATACATATGCTTACCTATTATTTCTTTTTCAGCACTCCCCTTACTAAAACGAAACCAGCAATCGATCTACTGGAAAAGGTATGGGCTAAAACTCCAACTGAAATTCGAAAGGATTATGGAGAAGCATACAAAGAGGTTATTAAAAACGCATGTGTTAATCTACTGGCTCGCGCAAGCCATAAGACCTATGAAGTTTTGGATTGCTTCGAGGATGCTATCACTGCTAAGGAGCCTTTAACAACTTACTCTCCTTGTTACCTTCCAGACAAATTAGGATTCCAGTTACTGGGTACTCTTCCATCTACAGTTACTGAAAGATATATCTTGACTTATCTTGATACAAAAGTTAAACCAGCAGCTCTGATGAAAAAGGTAAAAAAAAAAAAAAAAAAAAAAAAAAAAAAAAAAAAAAAAAAAGGCGCTGTGAAATTTTTTCTGAATGCATGAATGCCATAGAAACAGATTTGAACATTTTGCTTTTATTTGGCCTAAAATTGGAAATTTATATCTAAATTAATAATTTGTAATAAATTACATATTGATGTAATTTAATAAATCGTATGCCTTGTGAACTGTAAGAGGATAAACATTTAAAAATATATCATTGAAACAATTATCTTTCACCGATACATTCAAGTCTTCAACAATGCAGGGTTAAAGACACAGAGCCCCCTAGCTTTAAGAAATCCGTGTAATTTAAAACCCGATTTTGAAATCGTTTGAATTCGTTAAATGAAAGCAAAAGCTAAATGCAGTGGTAAATTGCTTCAGTTATGTTTCGTCCGTTGAAAGAAAACTTTTTAATTTGTTTACCGTTTTGGCAGCGTATTGTTTATCAAATTATGACAAATTAATGCAGTAGGGAGCCAGTCTTGCCAAAACCTTTTTGGGACCCATCATCCTAAAACAGTGGGCATGCTTACATATTTTTAAAATTAACTAATGATTTAGGAGCCTTTTGCGATTGCAAATTGCGTTATTCTATAAATACGATTTTTGCTTCCTCTGTCAAATTGTCATGCTTGGACAAAATATCATGATAGATTATTTGAATGTAGCAAAGCACTCGAGGACCATCTGCCTAAAGTAAGTAATGCCTTCCTCGAGGACTGCCTAAAGTAAGACTAGGACTGCCTAGTAAGTAATGCCTTTATGGGAAACTGCTGGTATTTACACTACCCGACACTGAAAATGCAACACCAAGAAGAAGTAGCCCAAACATTATGTAAATTTTAGGGTTAGACGCACGTTACCAAGTTATGCGAATGATGTGAAATGTACAGCTCTCTAGCGCATGTTGAAAAATATATAAGGAAAGGAACCTGCAGAATGTTCAATTTTCATGCCGCTTTTTCTGCTTCTAGAGAAATGATGGTAGAAAATTTGTCCTTGTCTCAGAGGACGCATGTAATAGCAGAGAATGCCAGGCCGTCGTTAACAAAGGCTGTTCCAAGCAGGCAGACATTTTTACAAGGGGCTTGGTGATCGGAGTGAGAAGGGTAGGTTCGTCCAAAAGGGCAAATCTTAGCTGAAACACACCTGGACGCGTCCACAGTGCACCGTCTGTGGCGACGATGTTTGGAAGAAGGGAAATGTGCGGTGCAGCCAGAGTGACGTCAGAACGCGTGGATCGACGCATCTGCGGACAAGCGGTGCCGCACTCACAAACCACTTCTACCTCCATTCTGCTCCATGTTCAGGAATCCTGGATGTTTACATATCGACCAAAACCATTTGCCATCGATTGGTTGCTAGTGGCTTGCACTCGTGGCGTCCGTAAGAAGACTTCCATTGACCCAACAACATAGATGTCAACATCTGCAATGATGCCGGTCTCGAACAATGTGGGTGATGGAATAACACAGGGTCGTGTTCTCAGATGAGTGATGCTTCTGTTTGCCCAATGATAGTCGCCGCGTACGAGTGTGGCGTCGATGTGGAGAGGTTCAATACGGCAGCAATTGTGGAAGGCCCATCCTCGTGACAACGCTGCATCATGGTTTCAGACTCAGTTACGTACGATTCCAGGTCACCTCTAGCTCTTTTTCAGGGCACTATGACGGCCCAACGATACGTGAATGATATGTTGCGGCCAATGACACTCTCCTACTTTTAAAGAGTGCCCATTCCCTTTATTAACAGGTTGACGCCCGACCACACACTGCTCGCATCAGCCAACGTGCTCTGCGAGGTGTACAGATATTTCCCTGATCACCGTTCTCTCCGATCTTTCACCAATCGAACACATTTGGGATGTGATTGGACAGCATTTGCAGACCGTGCCATTGACTCTTTCAGAAGACGAATTGTGGCAAATGGAGGTTGACGCCCGACCACACACTGCTCGCATCAGCCAACGTGCTCTGCAAGGTGTACAGATATTTCCCTGATCACCGTTCTCTCCGATCTTTCACCAATCGAACACATTTGGGATGTGATTGGACAGTATTTGCAGACCGTGCCATTGACTCTTTCAGAAGACGAATTGTGGCAAATGGTTGACAGGGACTGGAGAACATTTTTCCTGTCAAACTCATGACAATGAGACTACGGAGCGTATCCTGAGGACAACCTCCGTAGTCTCATTGACTCTGTACTTAGACATGTTGCTTTGTATCGCCGTCCAATGTGGTCCTACAACCTACTGAGCCGATGTTGTTCTCGCTTTGTATTACGCATATCATTTGGAAATGAAGAGCACTTTTTGTTCGTTGTTGTCTATCTCTGTTTGCCGAGTTTCCTCACTTTCTGGTCACTCCTTCTTGGTGGTACATTTTCAATGTCGAGTAATGTATTTTACAAATGGAGAAAACACGAAATCCAATCATGCAGCCAGCCCGTTCTCTTGAACTCAAAACTAGGAACACCGTTAATATTCAGAGGTCATAACCAAACGGCCAGTGGCGGTGCGCTTGGAAAAAAGAATATGATTAGTAATACTTGGAGTAAACTTCATGATCACGTCTGCTAATTTGTAGTAAATTTTCTTTCTACTATAGACATAAATCTGAAATGCGAAGTCCTCACGGTGCTAAGAGCACGAATTTTAAACGCAGGGTTTTAATGTCACACTTGGTCTGATACATTTCTTCAGATATTTCTACTCAGTAATTTTTTTATTCGTACTTTTTTTAAATATTGAAATAGGTTTCCTTTAGGTTCTTCTGCAGACAAACAATCTTTCCATTGACATTGACAACATTCTTTCCATTCCTTAGTTCCATTGGGAAGAAGCCTGCTATTTTATGTTAATCGCCTCACTATTTTCAACAAAAAAGTGAATTTTTTAATTTTCACAACGGATGTGCGAATCTTGGGAGGACGGAAAAATGGAAACAAAACTGGAAGTTGTACTGCTAAATACATATTAGTTTCCTGTTCTTCTATTTCTCTTGTTTCCTTTGGTAATACGTCGCTTTCTTTTGCTAATTCCAAAGCCCTGTATACCACAAGTTATCATTTTCTTGATCAGATACTGTTTTCTTATTAATCTACTTCTTGGTTACGAATTTGATAATATCGCCAATTTATAGAATTGTTCAGAACTTAAATTTCTGACATTTTGTTACTTACAAAATAGTCTGAGTAATTGCAACAGCCCTAATTACAATGCGAGAGTGCAATAGTGCGAGTGCTCCGACTCAAAGAGACAATAAGTTTATGGGATAGGACTTATGTTTATACTGACTATGAGCAAAGCATTCCCGAGCCACCTTGCCACCCGGCCGAATTCAATATCTCGATAACTGCAGGTCACCAACGTGTTCAACGCCACTGCAATCTACACCGATGTTCCAAAGGGGAATGTGGCACCGGTAGCGGATACTGTGTTCTACTTGGGAACCAGATCTTAAAGACCGGGAAGAAAGCTTAAGCACCACAACTCAGTTTTTTCAGGCTGAAATGATGCATTAAAAGCTGCACTTGTCTACGCACTGGAAAATAACTATTCCAGTATATATTCAGACTCATCCTCTAGCCTCCAGGCAATCCAAGACAAATGTTAGTAAAAATCCACTCGTCAGGGCCATACAAAACTCTTACTAAGAACACCTAAATACTATAGGCCTGAACTCCAGTGGGTACCTGCCCACACTGGAATACTGGGTAATGAAATTGCAGATGCATAGCCAAACAGCAGCAACTGACCCCCACGTTCGCACACTTGACGTGCCTCTCCCGGGTCGTTCTTAAAAGCTGAGCTCGAGAGAGAATTACTCAAACGTTGGCAACATCTGTGGGAGACAGAAACCACCGGCAGAAGAGTTTACAGATTTTTTCCAAAAGTCTGCCGGCCTTCTAAAAATCTGGCTCGTCTCACTTCACTCAGTATAAACGGACATGGTCCCTTCATTACTTATCTGCATCGCTTCAGACGACGCGAAAACGAGCATTGCTCATGCGGGATGGTAGGAGATCGTCCACTATCTGTTCGCTTGCAGAGAGACCGCTAAATATCATCTTAGGCAACCAGTAGCAAACCATCCATGCAGGGCCGAAGCTACTTCAAAAATGCAATGCATTGAACGCATACGCGATTGCATAAACATTGCACGCATAATCTCAGACAGGCTGGAGTAATTCTCAGCACCATCCTCGTCACCAGCACAGCCCCTGTATGCTCTGTACCTGTAGCGAACTAATTTATCTTAAGTTAGCTATTCGGCTTTTCTTATTCCCTGTATATATTTATCTTCTTGACTGTAAACCTTGAATTATGAACCTTGAACTATGTATTTTGCCTTATTTTATGTATTGTGTTCCACTGTTTTGCCTTTTTTTTTATTTATGCATTGTTTTAACTTTCTAGTATTTTACTTCTTATTACTTTTAGTATTTGTAACCAGCTATCCATTACTCTGTAAATATGTAACTGGAATTGTTCTTCACACCCGCAATGCACCCTTCTTCCATCATGCACTATCGTCTTCGTCCAGCATTTGTTTGCACTGCCCCCAGCAGTCGTCTTGAGCACAATATTTATTTATAAGTGTGTCTTTTGTTCAAGTTATTTCCGTCAGCGGGGCTACCTGGCCGATATGCTAACTACCCAGTGGACCGGCTGCCTCGCTGTCGGTGGAAAGAAAGAAAGTGAAGCGCCCCATAAGGAGTAACAATCTGTAGAAGTGCCTCTTAGAAATTAGATATTATATTGAGAATCTCTGTTGCGAAATTAACAAGTTTTTTTACTGGCCAGTGCCGGATAATTATGCAAATAAGCTCAAACTTTTAATAAAAGGTAATTTTTTTAAAGCTAGCAACAATCATCTTTAATAACATTAAGATAAATTAAGTACCCTAAGTACTGGTAATGCAGTGGCGTAGCTAGGGTGGGGCAAGGAGGGGACATCCATCCAGGGCGCAGCATTGAAGGGGCGCCAAATTGATGATACACATTTCAGAATGAAATGTTTTCCATTCTTGGAACACAGAAAGGGGCGCAAAATCTTTAGGTGTTCCCGGGAGCTGAAAACCTTAGCTACGGCACTGGGGTAATGGGCCGTGGCCAATTCTCGTTTTAGACTGAAAATAAATCCTAAAATTTCCAGGCATTACCCACGGCTAAATCTACCGCAGGCTTCTCAAGTTGAGATAAATTAAAGGCTTTAAGTCCTGGCAATGGCTCGTGGCCAGTTCTCATAAATGAGAGCTTTTAAATTTTTAATTTTAAAATCCTAAAATTTTCAGACATTACCTACGGTTACAGCAGGCTTCTCAGGTTTTTTGGCATCGTGTTCGACGTACGTATGGTTGCAACTTGTCATTATGAACAGTCTTGTTTTTCAGAGAGTAAACATTACAATTTTTTAAACATCTTCTCAGTTGCTTTACTGAAAACATTTTCCAAATATACTGTAGAAATGCTGAGAAGTTTCGTTTATGCTATGAGTTGGTTGATTCATCCATGTTTACCGTACAATTATATTCTCCATTTTTCACATCACGGATACCAATATTTGTAGAAAATTATTTTTCTTGCTTTTACTATTTATATTTTCTTGCTTTTACTATATTATTTTTCTTGCTTTTATTATTTTCTTGCTTTTTTATGATTCATTTTATTTAGTTTAATTTAGGACGATTTTACCTGATTCCTTTTCTTATGTAACGAATTTAGCTATATGTGATTTATATGTGCAAAAAGAAGCATTTCATCCAAAAACATTAGCAATATATGATTTAAACATAAACAATAGACGTTCCATCTCCAAACCCGAACTCAGTGATATTTGTCTTCATAACTGCGATACGTCTTTCAGTTAGTTTATATTATATTATTTATTTTACATAATTGTTATAAAAATCATAAAATAAATTAGATATTATATACCTTCATTATTTATTTTGTGAATTAGAAGTATGAATATTATTCCTCAGTCTGATTAATAACATTTGAGATATATTTATTTGATATATAGGCAAACAATGCTTGAATTGTTGTTGTTCTTCGATATTTTAGTAATATAATCAACCTAATTATTACACCTTTAAACAATACACGAGTTATCACATTTTCATTTTTCTAATTACTTGAATATATAACTAAATATATGTATTCTTTACTGTTACAGGAAGCAACGACTGCATCTGCGAAAGAAAAATAATGTATCTACTTCAATTGGATAAGCTCTGTGACAGCAGTATCTGTCCAGAAAATTTATAATCAGTTCCAAATTATGAAGCTAGTTCAACATACTCAGGTTCCTGTGCTAATTTGAAAATGTGATCGTTTAGCTCAATTCCAAAATAAGATACTATTTCCTATGATTTCAAGAAATGAGACACATTTACTTCTAAGTCAGCATGTAACATATTATTCTTTTGTTCACTCTAGTATATGTACACCAGGCAGATAAAAGAATTTTATTGAAAGTAAATTTGATAAAATTTGATAAAAAGAGAATGATCTAAAATATGTATTTATTGATATTCCTAAGTTTCAAAGAAATTTGCTATTTTTTTACCTAGCAGTGCTCCATAGTTCTAATACAAATAAACGCAATAGTTCAATTAAAGTTAATTTTTTTAAAGTTAGTATCAGTCATCTTTAATACCGCAAGTCTTGAGACTGGACTGGAATCGAGTTTGATAGTCATTAAACTTACTGAAAATCATCGACAATGAATATTTTCCGAAGTTACATGCTATTTAGTTGATGCATTGAAAAAATTTACGAATTTTGGATTTAAATGTAAAGAACTTTTTTTTTAGCCAAAACATAAGTAATATTTTACTATTTGAAATATTTTTCTAAGGTTACATAAAATTAGGTTTCATATTTGCAGAATTCTCCAATTTGCAGTATTGAAATTTTTGTCATAAAATTACATGACTCGTTTTAAAAAACTCTGTTGTTTGATGTATCTGTTCAACATTTTCTTTCGATCTGCTTTTGAAATTGAAATTGTTTCATTAATATTTTTTTACCTTAGTTTAAAAGACTTTATGACTTGCTGTATGTATATAGAATTATCATTAAAACAAATAAAGCTTCTAGCTCTTTCTACGAATAGTTCATATATCAAACACTAATTGTGGGAAAATTACGGCCCTACATTTTCTTTTGAATTTTACTTTGTTTCTCATGATCTTTAGATTTTAGCTCGCACTGTTTCAAGTTAATGTTCATACTCGTATCTTTAACTGTTAACTATTATATCTCGTGTACTGCATTTACACTTTTATGGAAGTAATAATGATTTCTAAGTAAAAACTGAATAAATAGAATTAAACTATGAGTAAGTTTATTTATTCATAATTTTTAAATGTATTTACTGAATTGCTATTATTTTATTTCTCAATGCATTCAATAACAACGAGAAAAAATGAGTTGTAGGTACTTTTCCGTTTCGCCGGCGCAAATCTCGCCAAGCAGACTTTATTGGCGACAACATACAGTATACACATAAAAAATATTAAAAAAATTTTAGTTTTAAGAATCTTTTTTGAAGGCATAAACATTTTAATATCGCTTAAAATTTTATAAAAAGCCAATAAATAAAGACAATAAATTGTAAAAAAACATTAATTTAAGAATTTACTAGCTTTCATGGTTCACCATCCTGATTCGCCGGTTCATATCACGTGACCCCAAGCGATCTCATCTCACGTAAACTACTCACTAAATTCTAATGCTTCAGTAATTATCTACATTAATTTCAAGTTAAATCTTAATTTGGAACACAAGTTTATATGCAAGAATATTTCAATTCGTACGAATAGCTTTCTCAGAAATTATTAAAAAACTGCAGTGCTTTACTTCGCTAATGTCTCATTAGAATGAATTTAACCCTTGATTTTACCTTTTCTATATTTTCGGCTTCAGGTAAGCACTGTGTTGCATTCTAATTGACTTATTACCGAAAATGGCCTTAGACATAAAGCTGAACTATCTGATAAAAATTCTATGCAATTATATGCCAGTATTGAAAAAAACAATCAGCCTGATAAGAAAAAGCTGAGACTTGTTTTGAAAATGAGGCGTAAAAGGTTACCAGCGAGAATATTCCGTTTGGCATCGGTTGTACCATTATTGGCAACTTTATCGCTTGCGCCGGCAAAACGGAAAAGTACCGAGTTGGGTATTACTGAGTGCCGCCTGAGATAACCACTGACCTGACTTTGTTGTAAAAGTCTTACAGTGTTAATAGTCATCCTGGCAGAAGGGAAAATTTCCTCCGTGTACAAATATACATATAAATATACATGGGCATCAAGGCAGTGTATAAGCATAGATATGTTGATTACAATCATGTCTGTACAGTTACATATGATAGATACATAAAGTCATGACAGCTATGTGTACATTTAAACATTATATGAATTCATATTACAATACTTTTACTGAGATAACCAAATAACTTGTAATTCATTTACACATTGACGGGATTTTCAATATCATTTAAACTGCTTACCATATTATTATCAAGTACGTACAAACTGGATAGTAATATGCTTACATTACAATAGTTTGCTCTTACAGTCCTGTTATTATTCGCGGGGTGAGCTATTTTCCTAGTGTTGATATTCAGTTGTTTTTGTAGTATTTTGAATTGCTATTAAAATTATGCTACGAAGATACAATCTCAAGAGGGGGGGAATCTTAGTATCTTGCTGAGCAAAGCCTGATTACCTCCTCTATTTTAGTTTTCATCTGCTTGTTGCCGCGGTATTCTCCGCCCATTGCGGCTAGTATTCACTGCTTGGCATTTTAAATGTAGTTTATCGGTTTGTGGGCAGTTGAAGAAGAAGTGATCTTGCATCACCTACGGCACCACATTCGCACAAAATCTGATGCTCGTATGCCGAATCTCTTAAGATATGTGGGAAGGGACCATGGCCAGTGTAGAATTGAGTTTGTGCTCCGCTGTAGTATTAACTGAGTACGTGACTTTTGGTAGAACTGTAGGTCTCCTTCCCTGTGCTTTCCATTTCCCATCTTTTCTGCCATTCTTGTAAAAGGCTAATGAGCGTGTTTTTTTTAATAGGACTGCGGAACACTTACTGCGTTTTCCAATCTACTGGAGTCATTGGCAGCAGATTTCGCAAGCAGGTCCGCCGCTTCGTTGCCAGAAAAGTTTCGTTGGTGAAGTGCCAGAAAAGTTGTATTACTCAAATTTAATATCCTATAAGCAAAACTTATAGGATTATATCAAATATGCTAGATACCGCCCATCCTGGTATAGTGGTTAGTTACCCTGGACTGCCTAGTGATGAGGTTTGAAACCCGGAGAAGGCATGGTTATAATTTTTCGTCCCTTCAAAGGAGGCAACATATTAGGGGCTTCCACAATGAAACGGTCCACCACTTCCGGCTCTTGGAGTCGCGGAAGGCTGATAGGTATTAAAAAAAGCACCCGGCCATTTAAAAAAATATATATATGCTAGATTAATGCGATTTCAATTGCATAATGCAACAAAACTTTGCTATAAGCTAAAGTTTTGCTGCATTTTGAAATATTAGTCCTATAATCTAGCATATTTGATAATCATGCATCGCTACAGTTTTGAGTGTGACGGATTATCCGACTTAATTGCTGTAATAAAGTAACTTTGAATAAAGTAACTGTAATAAAGTAACTTTTCGTGCTGAAATAAGTAACTTTGAATGATTGTCTTCTCTTTTGAATGAAAATGAAAATGCTAAGGAAAAAAAAATATATATATATATCAGAAAGTGTTTGGAAGATTGTATAAGTGAAGAGAGGAAATTGCCTTGCGGAAAATTAGCAAAGTATTGTTTTCAAATTACCCATAATTTATGTTTTGGCTCCAACTTTCCTTGTTTTTCCTCAGGTTCATTACAGTCGGCACAACATGAGTTATTAATAAGTTTTCTCAGCTTAATTCAATATGGCTTATAGAAATGTTTTGAATTTTTTGTTCTCCTTAGCTATTATATATTTGACTTTCAGTTTCATGCCAAGTGTATGTGATATCTTCGTCAAATTTTCCGTTGTCATACTTGCAATTAAATTGGCGGAATGGATAATGACCACATCTCGAAAATATTTTTTTTACGATAAAATATCCTGCAAAAATAAAGCCATCTTTATTACTGGTGAGTAACGTTTCATAATTGAATCCTTCCTTTCTAATAATACTGAATTCTAGTTACTACATAAATTCTTCCGTTAGCAAGAAAATTTATATAAATTTCAATTTGTTTCGGTATTTGAGAATCATAAATAATTTAAGACAAGAATTACTGAGTTAAATATAAAAATTACCTTGTTTATATCCTGTGAATGCATTTGCTAGAATCAGAAAGATTTGAGAAAATTTAAAACTAACTTTCTAGACGTCATTAATATAATAAGATATTTTCTAATACAGTTAACTCTTAAAAGAGGCAGATTTCAACAGTGTTATTTCATTTATATGTGAAGTATTTAAAGGAAAGTACATGATATTTCTATGTATAAATAAACAGAAATAAAGAAAAGATAGGCACGTAATGAATATAAAATACCAAAATAACAAATGAATGAAATAACCTCGCATCAATGCATGAACTAATCAACAATGGCAAACTCTGCCGTAAATTCCGCGAAGTTAACTTTCTATGTGAAGAATCTGTTAGGTACAATTCAGATTAAGAATGTGTATATAACTTAAACAAGTTTAAATATTGTTGTAGTTAAAAGAAAAGAATGAAACAGATGTTATGTTTTGATTCGAAATCAGACTTAGTTTTTATATCCAATTTATTTTATTTACGAACACATACAGACGATTATTTACATGTAGAGTTTAGTATAAAGATAAAGTGTTTCGTACATATGGATGATAAACATTCCGTATTTCAGTAATGTGACTAACTTAACTGCTGCTTGCTTAGAAGAACGGGAATTCCCCGATCGCAACATATGAAACTGGTTGTCAGATTCATACATCAGACTTAACAAACAAAACAAACTCTTAAATAATAATAAACTTGAAATACTAAATAGGAGTCATAACATGTTAATTAAAAATAATTTTATTACCGCTTAGTAAGTATTGGCAAAATTGTTCTTTAAAAAAGCTGACGATTTTTGCTGGTACAAATAACTAACGCTACTCTTTCAAAGTTTTCCGGTGAGTAACGCGGAATGTTTTAATGCCTGTCATAAAATGTCTGTATTTTCTTCATTTAGGATTAGGATTATTCAGTTACGGCAAAGCACACGAGGGCTATCTGCCTAAAGGGAGGGATGCCTTCGTGGAGGACTTTCTAAGGGAAACTGGCTCGTATACACGTTACACATGAGGAAAACCACGAAAACACCCATGCAGCCAGCCCGTTCGCGGGATTCGAGCCTCGAACCGAACTACCGGTGTTCAGCGTCTTTACCGCTTGGCCGCTTTTTCTTCATTTAGATCAATGTCTTTTTCAAAATCAGGTATTTTCCGTGTCTTTAACAATTCGCTTAACTTCTTGTACATTAAAATCTCTTTATCATCTTTTCCTTAATCATTGCTTTTCACTATTCGTTAGTGTTATAAGATCATCCAATTCTTGATTCGTCATTTCTCGATTAATTCTTTTACTTCCTCTTCTTGCATATTTGATATTCCTTTGCTGTCAGTTTCTTTTAAAATTTATGCAACTTCTTTGACTTCACTTTCAGTTGATGTAAATCATTTAAAATTGTTGATAACTTTTGTCTAGAGCTGATGCTAATAATCACTTAGTGCTAATGAATGGACATTGCACCGCGTATGAATGAAATTCTAGATGTGGGTAGATTGTATGGATACAATTAAGGTAACGTGCATATGCGTAATCGCGTTCCTCGAATTCAAGTTGGAAAAAGTTACTACATATATACAGGGTGATTCTAAATTGTTTTCACAAATTAAGAGGGGAGTAGTACTCATTCAGATGAGCAATAATTACCACAGAACATAGAGTCGCATTCCACCCTGAGAGGCAGAAAAGGGGAATATTAGAATTCCAACTTGAACTTACAACAGTGTTGGGAGAGCGAATGAACGAGACCAAACGCCGCACAATCAGTTTAGCGAAAAATTCATACAGAGTGCACAAAACAGATAGAACCGAAAACTTGGCGTTCGCAGACTTGGCAAGACTTGGCAGACTTGGCAAACACTCAAATGCACATCTTTGGTTCGCAAGGTCTCAAACCCGCAAACCATTGGAAAAAGCTAATTATCTAATCAAGGGCTAAGCATTATCAACTAACTCCAACTCAACGTAGGTTTGTTATTATCAAGGTAACAGTTTTTCTCCCGTTTGCCATCTTCTATCCTGTCCTCCTGGACTTATTTTGCTGCACTCATTCTACTTGAAGCACCCTTCTGTTATATGTGTACGAGGTTATGACAGCCAGAACACAGCATGAACTTTTCATTCTAATCTCGGCATACAGCAGAAGTTGGAATTAGTTGATAATATTCAGCTCTTGATTAGATAATTAGCTTGTTCCAAAGCCAAATGCACACCAAATAAAGCGCTGTTACAAGCGAAACGATATGCGTTTAATAAACAATTTTGGAAAGAATCACGTTTTATAGGCATTGTAAGGTCATTGTTAAATACGGAAGATTTCATCAACTTCCAGAACGCAGGTCCTGAAAAGAAAAGAAAGGAGGCCTGTAAAGGAGAAAGATAGCCTTGATCCTATTTAATGAAAATACTTGTTTAGAAGGCAAGGGCAGAAAAGAAATTATTTTTAAAAAAATGTGAAATGAAGAATCTAGATTTTATGTACATCAAGATAAAGTGGTAAACTAGTTAGTCAAAATTTTAAAAGTTAAAAAAAATATATTTTAAAATAAATAGTATTAAAATTTTTTTTGTATCTTCGAAATAAAAATGAAGTTATTTCAGTGCTTCAATGCCAATGGCTTCATAAATTTAACAAACACCTCTGACGACTCAATTCATAACTACAGAATAGAGGAAAAAAGAAGAAAGAAAGAATATCAGATTCCGTTCTTCGCTTTGTTACAGGGATTGTAGTGTAGAAAACAATGGCTAGAGATTTAATCATCGAATAATTCCATTATCTGTAAACCAAATCATAACTTAACTACAGTTTTGAAGAAAATTTAAAAGCATTAAGGTTCAATTACTATGCTTTGATGTATATTATTTCTTTGAACTTATTTCTAATTATATGAGCCTAATAATATTTTATTTCTTAGAATATTCTGAATTACTGTCGATTTCGAATGCAAATTAATTACGCATAAACTTTTAAAACAAAATAAGGATGATAAGGAATCGCATAATTTCGAATTCGAGTAAGTAGTGGTATTATAGTACAATTCCGTGACAAGTTTTCCAGAATTCAGTATTTATATTTTTTAATATTGATTTGCGACATTCTTTCATATGTTTCTGTTTAAAGAACAAGTTAATAATTGAAACACATCAATCTTTACACATCGGATAAATCGAAAAATAATATTCCAACTAAAACTTCTCCGAAATCTCTAAAATTGCTTACCGAATTTCGGCGTTTTCTCAATTCAAACTCTTTTGGTTTTTAGTTAATGCACAGCTGTTAACAATAATCGATTTTCAAATCGGAAGATTTAATTCGTCATTATTATTAACCCCACAAATTTAAGTAATGAAGATGACTAATTTTTAAATAAATCATAAATTTTAATGAAATAAATATAACCTTAAACAATCGATTACATCGGAAGATTTTGAAAGGTTGAGGATGTCAGGAATAAATTCCTGCGTTTAGAAGCAGTAATTTTTATTTCCTTACAGTTCTGAAGAATTAATATTCTCTAAAACAAAATAAATCAGGTACAAAAATTTCCTAACTTACTTCGATATTAGTTAAATGTGCTAAAATTGTGTAGAAACAAAAAAAAAAAAAAAATAAAAAAAAAAAAAAAATAAAAAGAAAAAAATCTATAATGTTTGAGATTTTATATTACGCCCAAAGGAGCGTTTTTTTTAATGTTTCTTGTGTTACTTTTATTTATTAATTATCATCTAAACCATAAAATTCAATTCAATAGCAATATCTCAAAATATAGGAGCATATCTTTAGAATTTCCGATACACAGTCTCACGCTGGAGATAAAAAAAGTTTTTTTCCCGTAGTGTTGCCATTGCTCGCTTTGAAATCGTTGAGTTTCTTAATCAAAACCTCGTAAATGCTTTACAAAATAGGAAATGGATAATAAAACAAATTACAAATTTGGGCTTCCAGAAGCCCATATTTCGGTAGAGATGTGCATTATTCAAAATTTGATGGAGCTAGGTACCGTTGTTTTATCACAATCCGAGAAACATACATACAATTATACAAATTCTTCATTATTTAATTTCTTTAAATATAATACAGGGCTCTAATATTTTGTGGCAACAATTTAAAAAGTAATTCGGCATTTATAATGAATCAACGCAAAATGCCAAAACGAGATTAATAGCTCTTTTGAGCAAATTGCCCTTTTGGGCTAATTATCACATTATTTTCGTCACTTATAGTTAAAAATAAAGTAATGATAATATATAAGAACTCAGGTTGGTTATAACCACAGTTTTAAAGAATTATAGAAGTGACTGCACTGAAATGAATGTGCGTAAGATTTATTACATGAACTAATTCTTCTTTGACAGTTTGCTTTAATATCCATCACTTTTTCGTTTTTAGATACGGAAGAAAACTACGTTTTCATATGATTAGCTAATTAAGATAGTCAAAAAATCACATTTTTACATTTTCATGCATTAGCTAAAGCACAGTAATTTGCAGATTTCTGCTACACTTAGATACTTGTAATCAATATCTTGAAAACCCTACTAGACTGAAAGCGAGATATTGCTTTGTTCTGAAAAAAATAATGAGCCGCCCAACCGCGATATAGTTAGCGACGCTGTCTGCCGTACCGAAGAGCCCCGGAAAAAGCATGGATGATTTTAAATGTATAATGTCTGTACGGCATGGGGCACTCTAAATATGCAACGAAGAGAAAGTTCTCTCGAGAGGTTGTTGATAGGGGAAGACGGGTGAGTTCCCGTACCCCCTAGGTGCTCTCCGTGTAAACTGGGGGGGGGAGTGAGCAAAGTTGTAATGTCACCTGTAT